AAGATGCAGACGCCAGTACAGTCCATTATTCACAGTGGCTACTTTCACCCAACACTCAGATACTGGCAGACCTGTGCCACAGATATAAAAACAGAGAACCTCATTTACCCAATTTTCATCACGTAAGTGGCAGAAATTTTCCCTCAACTAATTTCTGGCAAATTTGTGTGTGACTTGAATTTTGAATTTGCTACAACTACATGAATGCATGAAAAATATTTCTCCTGGTCTTACTCCATCTTTCTTGCTACTCCTATAGAGACAATGTTGATGCTGTGGAGCCTATTAAGAGCCTACCTGGACAAGCCAGGTAATGGGGGTGGAGTTGGGGGGGGTATTATAACAATCCGGGTAGTAATTGTTTCCTGACTAAAGTGCACTTCCCATCAATGCTCACAGGGGCAACATTTGTGCAAAGCGCCAACTGATGTGAAGGGTGTTGTCCTGAGATAAAAAAAAAGTCAGGGTGGATCGAGCACCAAATACTGTTTCAGGACACAGATAAGCTGAGCATGCGTTACACTCAAATTTGTGACATTGCCAGTGTGAAACTTTGTGGTAAACTCCATAACAATATATCATTTCTAATTGTTTTGGGTTTTTTTTTTCTTACTCTTGAAGCCCAGCCTTAAGTCAATGTCAGTTGCAACATATCGTTTAACTGACCCATTTGGTTTGTTTGGTTTTCTACTATTTTTATGTCCAAATGCACACACTGAACTGGTTGCCAGCCAATCGCAGGGCACACCTAGATGAATAACCATTCGCGATCACAATCGCATCAGTCTGATAATGCCCTTTTTCTTTGTTCGTGAAATCAGTATTAGAAGGGGTGTAATCAATCATGCTGCATCATTTGTAAAGTATATATTTGAAATGTATTCCCTTTCATAGATGTGGGGTGAACAAACTGGAAGGAATGTTGCAGCCACTTGTCGAGAATGGTTTGAAATGTGTGCTGATCTTTGGGGTGCCCGCGAATATAGCAAAGGTATGTGCGGTGAATCTAAAAAGAGGGCAAGGACAACTGAAAGTGTCACTGTGCTTGGAAGGAATTGGCACTAACGTGAATTGGATAATTTTTGTGAAGCTGTTGATTCATCTGGCCATTAACTGCAATGATGAGAACTTTTGCAAGAGTTTAATATTCGTGAGGGGGGTTCATCTACAGTGTAACACGTAAAATGAATGGATAATATATGGTGGAAGTCGCAGTATAAAACGGACCTCCTGCAGATGAAGATAAGTCAGACCGTATGCAGACATGCTGATCTTTTGTGCCTTAGGACGACCGAGGGTCAGGGGCCGACACAGACGACACGCCCGCCGTGATGGCCGTGAAGAAGATCAGATCCTTATTCCCTGACCTGCTGGTGGCATGCGACGTCTGCTTGTGTCCCTACACGTCGCATGGCCATTGTGGTCAGTGTCTCTTTTTGATGATAGACCTTCCTCAGCCTCATGCGGTACATATAATCCATGGAGAGAATTGCTGCTATCCATTTAGTAACGAAAGAAATACACACAGTGGTCTCTAGATGAGTCCGGAATTTGCCAAAGTGCATACTGACAAGACGCAGCGTTACTGGGAGAATGCCCTTTGGAAGCTGGAGCTTTTTTTGATGAGTTACATCACTTCTGTGAAATATGAGGAAGGCCACGTTTCGCAATTCTGGTGATTTGGTTCAGCGGTCCCTAACCTTTTTTTGTGTCACGGACCGGTTGAGACAAGTCCATGCTGCTTTCAACCGGTGGCTGCCGGCTTGTTCTTAGCGACTCAATGCGGTACCCAGTAAGATGTACTGACAATCTCCACGTATTTAAATTTGCCTTCCAGGTATCCTGAATGAAGATGGTTCGCTGAACATCGATGCTAGCTGTTTGAGACTGGCAGAAGTAGCACTAGCCTATGCCAAAGCTGGTAAACGCTGCCGCCCCCACCCCCAAGCTTTGAAAGTTTCTGTTATCATATGCTTGAGGTGCACACACACAAAAAAAAAACAAAACACTTCTAAATGTCTCTCTAATGCCATTTTGGGATATTTGTTGAAAGATAAATATTAAGTGTATATCATAAGGCCTCTGACTTGATTGAAAATTAACAGTTATGAGAGCATTGATAATTCAGATTTTCAGGAAAATGCACATAGACTGGGCAGCATTGTGAGAAATACAATGTCAGATTTTTTTTTTTTTCGTTTCAGTTTGAAATTGATATTAAAGTCGGTTATTCGCGTTTTCCTGCAGGTTGTCACATAATTGCTCCTTCTGATATGATGGATGGCAGAGTTGGGGCCATAAAACAAGCGCTGCTTTCCAATGGGTTGGGAAACAAGGTAAATCGGCCGAATAAAGAACTATTACAAACGAATAACTTGAGTCAATCTAAAAAGGCAGCGGCACAGCATCGTTGATTTCGAAAGGCCCCCCCCCCCCCCCCAACTTAGCCGGTGTTTTCCCGCTGAAGCTGATCGAACTGGTGAAAGTGTCGCAAACAAAATTGAAGTGTACTGCTTGGTCGCATTGAGTACCGGCTTGATTGATCCTTTTGCAAGATGCAGCAAGTGTCCCTCTCAGTTTCCATATATTTCACATGAATTCAAATGATTTGTGTCCTTTATTTGGATCTCCAGGTGTCAGTGCTAAGCTACAGTGCCAAGTTTGCCTCATGTTACTATGGCCCTTTCAGGTAAATCAGGGTACGGGATGAAAACATTTGCACAATTAAGAATAGTGAGACTTCCAGTGTTGTCTATGCAGAGATGCTGCACAATCCAAGCCAGCTTTTGGGGACAGGCGCCGCTACCAACTCCCCCCTGGAGCAAGGGGGCTTGCTCACTGAAATGTTTATTACACACGCGCACACACACACACACACACACACACACACACACACACACACACACACACACACACACACACACACAAAAGTTTTACAATTACTATAACGTGAAGTTTTCTTAACACTCGGCTGTGCCTTAGGAACGAGATGTAAGAGAAGGCGCTGATATGCTCATGGTGAAACCCGGTCTGCCATATTTGGACATTGTCAGAGAAGTCAAGGACAAGGTCTGTCTTCATGATGTGCAGCATCCGTTGTTTGACATCATGGCGAGCTTTTGAAAATGTCGCCATTTGAAGAATTCCTTTGAGCATTTCCAAATATCATTCGTACGTCATTAAGCCATGTGCGGATGCGGTGACAAATGTTTTTTCTTATTTTTTTCTTCTGCCTGTATTCAGTTCCCCACTCATCCCCTTGCTGTTTATAATGTGTCGGGGGAGTTCGCCATGATGTGGCACGGAGCGCAAGCTGGAGCCTTTGACTTGCGAGCCGCTGTCATGGAGGCCATGACCGCCTTCCGCAGGGCAGGTGAGGGTGGACTGCTGGTTGTTGTTGTAATGTGTGACAGAAAAAAAAAAGTATATATTATTCAGAGCGTTTTTGCCCTACAAACTGATTAGGAATTCTGTGAATCTGTGTGACCCGAGTAGCACTGATGAAAAATTGTGCTCCCCTTCCTGCAATTAAGTTCCCCAAAACGTATTTAAATAGAGGGAATTATCTACTGTATAACGGTGTTCATGATGACGCTGTACTCTGCTAAATCCAAATCCTTATCATCCGAAAATAAAAATGAACAATCCTGTGAGAGGCAATTACTATATAAATAATATAAGGAAAGATATACTGGCCATATCATATTTCTGTGATTAAAAGTTGTTTCCAGTTATTGCTGTCGGGCTTGTAACTAATGAGTTTTATTTCCTTTTGAAGGCGCTGACATTATCATCACCTACTACACCCCTCAGTTGCTCAACTGGTTGAAAGAATGAGGAATGAAGAGCGAAATCTCTGGAGAAAAGATAGTGTCTCCTTTTAAGCTAGCAACCAAAAATCATCACTTGAAAATGTCACAGCAACACGCTTGGGAAAATTCACTACTTTGGGGGATTTATTTAAAGTCTGTTTTGGGAACACTGGGCAGTGCGTAACAGTATGACAGCTTTTGTTATTTATATTTTAAAATTATATAAACATATGTATATTTTTGGTGGGGGCGGGGGGATCCTAAAATCCCAGATTCATAGCTATATCAACTATTCACAAAACATTTAAATGTTCTCATTTAGTTAAAACTTAAGGATGGATCGAAAATGCACTACAAGCTCTAACTGGGAAACTTACGACCTCTCAACCTTACATACCTCCAACTGTTGTGCAAAAAGTACTGCAACATAGAATAGTCCGATAAATTTGTGCGTTCAAAACTTCTGAATGTCGGATTAAGTTCACCTGTTAAGATTATATCACATTTTTGGTTCATCTTGAAAGTTCGACCGGAAGCAATGACTTTTTGTCATTAGTGCATGTGTGTTTCTGTACACTGTGAATGTAGTAGCTAAATATAGCGTTGTTTTTTTTTTTTTTTTTTTTTTTATGTTTTCTCATGTACCTGATGTTGACCCATTTTGGTGACCACTATCCCTTTGGACCAGATATTAAAAGGTTTATTCAGAGGTCTTGACGTGGTGCGGCGGTGTCGTACTTTTGAGGCTTTCATATACTGTCAAAATAACTGTAGTGAAAAAGATTGAAAAAGCTTATAACGTCAAGACATTTACGCGCTATTGTCATACAGTGATTTAGTCATTTATGAAACTACAGTCCTGTATTGATTGGAAACGTGGCGCATGAAGGAAACTGCGTTTTTAGTCCGACTTCCTGCGCAACTTCGATGGGTGACCGCCAGGGGGCGACTCACGACCATTTTGAAAGTTGTAGTCATACGCGCCCCCCACAAAAAAACTTAAATTGTTTTGAGCGTTATCTAGTATATTTTAGGTTATGGTGAGTTTTTTTTTTACCGTCCAACATTGTCCTCTTCTTTTAGGTGCTTTTTCTTCGGGTCACAAGCGAATCGATTAGGCAAACGCGTATTAAACGTTATTTACTATAAATATTGTACGTTTGACCTGCGAATCGTTTAAATGGGACGAAATGTGCCCACGTTTTAATGTGATCGAAGAAAATGATCGATTGAATGACATGTGACTCATTTGACATGTCAGCCCGTCACTGAATTTCTTCACAGCTTATGACGTGTAGGGAGGGGGCCGAGCAATATGAGGGCTGCTCTCGTTAAAGTTGAAGTCATCTGGATGGATGCTCTCACTCCCCCACACACCGTCAGTCGGAGGCCGACGCCGTGCCGCAGAAGTCCATCTTCGGGCGCTCAACAACTTCAATTTTGACGTGGATTTACGCGGCGGAGACGCATGGCACAGCCCGCCGGAAAATACCAAACATGACGCCGCTGCTGACTTCGAGTGACTTTTGAGAGAAAACAGGCAAAGGACGAAAGGTAAACGGAAGGAAAGCGAGACTTATGTTTGGCATCAAGCCGGTCGTTTCTCCACCACTCCAACCAGTGCCGTACTTGACCGCTTGGAACGAGCGTCATGAGCCGCGGAGAGGCGCCGGGATGTTGCCTGCTGTTGGCCGTGTGCTGCTGCCTTCTCCCGGCGTGTAGAAGCAACATCACGGTGGCGGTGATGCTGCCGGACAACCACCACAAGTACCCGTGGGCTCTGCCGCGAGTCTTCCCGGCCATCCTCATGGCGCACGAAGATCTGCACGGCAAACACGGGCTGCTCCTGGGCCGCTCCATCAACATCCTCAACTACAGCACCGAGGACCCGGCGGCGCGTTCGTGCGCCGAGAGCCGAGCCCAGGTGGTGGCCGTGGACGCCAAACTCTACATCCGCCCGGACGCGTTCTTCGGGCCCGGCTGCGTGTACCCGCTGGCCTCGGTGGGGCGCTTCGCGTCCCACTGGAAGCTCCCGCTCATCACCGCCGGAGGACCCGCGTACGGCTTCGACAAGCGCGACGAGTACCGAACCATCGTGCGCAGCGGGCCGTCCACCACCAAGCTGGGCGACTTCACCAACATGCTGCACACGCATTTCAACTGGACGTCCCGCGCCGTGGTCATCTTCCACGACTTGAGGCACGACGACCGGCCGCACTACTTCCTCTCGGAGGGCATCTACCTGAAGTTGAAGGAGGAGATGAACATCACGGTGGAGGCCCAGCCCTATGAAGACGACTTCAAGTACTACAAGGAGCTCATCGCCTTCATGAAGGAGCGGGGCAGAAGTAAGCGCCGGTTTCATTTCATTCTTGCAAACTTTCATAATGCGTCAGATATGAACATGTCATCAGAATGTTTCTCCATAGCTTTTGCAAAAATGTGCACGCACAATAATGATTGAATTATGCTATACTTTTTTTGGGGGGGGGGGCGCTAACCAAGACACCCCGACTCAGCATTTGGGGGAATCCCAACTGGAAGGATAACTTTCAAGGCTTTGTTTTCCAACCTGTTTTTGAGCCAAGGCACATATTTTACATTCGAACAAATGCCCCAAGAAGTATATATGCTGAAATAATGACAATCTCGTATTAATGTACTCACACATTTATATATTGTCAAATCTGGGCTTTCGTTCAACACAATCCTGATATACTGGCATAAATCCATGATCAATTCTGCTGTCTGGATGGCAATTGCGTCTTCTGCCATCTAGCGGAAGAGCATTTCATTGTTCTGCCTGTCACTATACACTGCCCGCATAGATGAGCAAAGATCTGTGGTAGATTTATAGTAATTAAATGTTCATTTTTGGACATTGTATAATTCTCATTAACAGACACACACACACACACACACACACACGTTCCTGTTGTGCAGGAAAACCAAACGGTTTGGCTTTTGAATGCTGCTTCCAATGCAAGGTTAGTACGGTCACTGTCTGATCAGGGAAGATATTGCAAAATGCTATTTTGTGATACAATCTTAAAGGAACAACTGTTGACACAGCTGTCACACTGGATCTCATCAGACTGTGTGCCATTGACCGACTGATCTCCAAAGGAAACACTTTGCCTGCGTTATCTCACACCAGCAACCTTTCTGCTCACTTTGTCTGACTTGAGTAAAAATGTTCGACATTTTCTATGACCCGAAAGCCGATAAATTCACCCGTTGTGTGATTTTTAATTTTTTTTTTATCAATGCACAACAAATGCAAACAGAGCTGATGTGGATTTCGTTGCGGGAAGAGCCTCTTTTTTTGGGCATTTTTACACAGACACGTTGAGGCTGCTGCTCTTGTTTTGTTTTTTTGTTTTGTTTTGTTTTTGCGGGGACCACCACCTGAGACAGACACCAAATTTGAGCTGAAGAGGGTGCCCCTCCAGCCAAAACTCACATGGATTGGGGAAGAATCTTTTGAACTCTTACTTGGTTTCAAATGGAAGCACATTCACAATGGCGTAAACCTTTGGAAGTTGAAAAAGGCCACTGAAAACCAAGCATTTGGGGGAATCCCCATTCGGCGTTGGATTTATTACTGCGAGACCACGACACACAAACAGCAAGGAGAGAGAAGCTCACACGACATTGACAAAGAACAGAGGGCGAGGAGGGGTCCCAGTAAGCCCTGTAGGCCATAAGCGCAGGAGGAAAAGGGCAATGACTTCAGTATTGCCATCTATGCTTCGATCCGAAAGTTCTTTCTCAACTATAACTAGACACATAGATACTATTCAACCTTAAATAAGCCTACCGTGCCGCTTGGAAGGAGGGAACGGTACAGTCTAGTCACTAATCTTTTCCAAACAGGGATGAAACCACAAATAGAGTAGCGGTAGCTGTTTTTAGGTCACTGCTGAGTGATCGCAACATGAACGTAAACAGCCCTTGGAGAAATCCAAAGTCAGTTTGACTTCCAGTTCTGTAACATGCAGATGTGACTTGTGATTTCTATTTCCTTCTGCACTCTTCACTTTCCGCATGACTCTTGCCGACGCCGTACTGATGAAAATACATAAACTTATGGTGAAAGTCAATCATCACTCAAATGAAGGGTAAATATGCGTTGTTTATTTTTGAATTTTCTGCTTTCCATGCTGAAAAGTTTGCAAGTGGAACCGTTGAATGTTTACTTTGAAGAAGACATTCAGCACTTGTGTGAGCTTTGCCAGGAAAAAAAAAAAAAAAAAAAAAAAATCACAGTATCAGATCAAAGTTCTCCAAGTCACTTGAATGTGGAAGCGCGATTTTTAAACATGCTGTGATGAGCAACGTTGGGTCGAGTTAATGTTCGAATTCTGTGTGACTAACATGACAGCGTGCCGCTGTACAACACGATTACTCTCATTAAAGATCAAATGCCAATAGACATTGCAATATGTTTAATTTCCCACTTTTGATTTGCAAAGGCTGTCTTTCAGGACTGCTAAACAAGCTTTACCAAAATTCCCTCTCAATTAACATCCATCCAGTCGCCACCGTCAATTGTTCCCCCTTGACGCTGCTCACTTGTGTATAATTGGCTCTTAATTGTCATCGTCGCTGCGTGTTATCCGTTGCGGCTGCATTTTGGAATCTCGGATCACTGAATTGAGCGGCAACGAATGCAGCCTCGTCTTTCGTCTTTCTGACTGTGGGAAACTTTTCAAACATGTCGATGGGTTGTTCAAATACAACTCGCGGCAAAGCCGGCGTCCGATGCCAGTAAAAGCCAAGAAGACCCCAGCCCGGCCCCCTGCGGCCGACCCCATCTCGGATGAATTATGACGCTGCCGCAGCGAGCCTGAGCTCGTGGAAGCAAACGGTTTTGTCCAGGCTTGCTCGGCATTCACTTTTAGCCCAGCAGATAGCCTCGAGGCTATCGGCTCTGCCAACTGGGCCGAGGTGACGAGAGGCCGAGACCGGAGAGAAGAGCTTTCAACTATTGTGGTGACTCACGTCATTTGAGCTTTTACAGCTGACAAAGTGATTGCGCGCCGTTGCACTGTCAAGGCCCCCCCTCGTCCGCCCACTTTAGTTCCCAAAATTCTTCCTCGCAATTCCTGGCAAACGACGATGTGGGAAGTATATTGACTGCGGTCAGAAGAAACGGTCCCGTACTATTTTCCATTATTAGAACAAAACATATTTTGAAGTCGTACTTCTCGCTGCTGGGCTATGATTTGATATTCTGTGTAAAGCCCCCGGACCGATTCCCGCTGTTGAATCACGCGAGGTCACTCACGCTGGACGAGAAAGAGCCTCGCTCACACTCTCTGTTGTAGTTCTTACAAATGTGTTTGATGGTGTTGAGGTCAGGGCTCGATGGCGGTGAGTCAAGTTCTCCCACCCTAAACCCATCCAAGCATACTTTTAGGGACGTTCCCATATACGCCGCTCGGTTTGTTTGCGTGAATGTCCCCCACGCTGAAATGTCCACGCTTAAAAGGTGCTACTTGAAAAACATTTATGATGATTTAAAATTTTAGGCATCCAGAGTCAAGTCAATCCTTATTGACAGATGAAATAGCGGCATCCCAACAAAATACACTCCTTGGTAGAACGGTGAAGACATAAAAAGCAAAATGGATCTTTTTGACCGAATTTACCCATTCGTTTTGAAATAAATCAACTGCTTTTCACGTCAAATTATGTGATAAGAAGTAACAATCTATACGGTGAAGCTTGAGTCTTCGTGCCTCGAATTGCTTTTCACGTCAAATTATGTGATAAGAAGTAACAAGCTTGAGTCTTCGGGCCTCGAATGTGAATCTCCCTAGTTCGCCTGGGCGTTAGTCTTCTCTTTGAACACCGTTTGTTGAGGCTGATAGAAAAAAAAAAAGTCACACTGCACTCCGTACTAGGACATTTTTGCCCAGCGTCGTGCATGACATTTGAAGAGATTTTTGTGTGTTTCTCCTGAGTAATATTTCAGTGACAGCAAATTCCAGCGGTTTCTTTTCTCGTGCATGACATTTGAAGAGATTTTTGTGTGTTTCAGTGACAGCGAATTCCAGCGGTTTCATTTCATGTTTTTGAGATGAAAGACAAAAAAAATCTGCGTTGTTGTCTTGTTAGTCAGAAAGTAGAACATGGAGGAGTCTGATCTTGAAGAGTGAGAAGTGGAACAACTTTGACCGAGCAACTTGAATGCGCATTTGTGCGCAAGTCTGTCGACTTGAGGCTGCCACACAACACACAAGGCCATTTTGCCCCCCGACTGTTGGGGCATTTATCTTGGGTGCAATCCAGCAGACAGCAGAGCCACTTGGCATGGTTAAACCGCGATGGAACAGATGAGAGTCGGGGTCCAACATGAGTGTAACCAATGAGGAAATGTCTGCTAAGTGGCCTCTGAGCTGCGAGCCTGCACTCCGGCATCTGTCTGGAATGAAAAATAATGGCGCTTATATATTTTTTTGCCGCGCAAAAGCAGCCAAGTGTAGGTGGCGGGGTGAAAGTTCATTGTAAACACACAGGTCGGTTGATTTCAGCGTGAGCAGACAATGAGACCTCAGTCGGAAAAAGGGAACACAACAATCATTGTCGATGTTCCGTGTTTACGTTTTAGAGGCTTTTTATTTTTTTTTTCCGTCAGTGTGCCAATGGTCAAACGTCAAGGACTGCAAAAACAGTTTGAATAAATAAATAAATAAAACAACCAGCCGCACCGCTCTGCCCCCCCCCCCTAAAAAAAAATAAAAACAAACATCAGCTAC